CTTAATTCCGAAAGAATTTATGGTGCAGAAATCGTCTAGGTTAAATACATGGTTATCATCTAGCGATTCGACACTTAACTGAGTCTAATATAAAATAAAATAACAACCATAATTTGACATTTAACTAAGCCTAATATACAAATAGTAATAAAAACCATAATTTCTGACAGTAATATTATTTCAGCAAGAACCGAGCTGAGCTAAAATTTTTTCTAATGCAAAAAAATTTAACAACAGCTGCTTACGAGAACCATTTATCTTTGCAGGATCCGCTATACTCATAAGCTATGTTATCAAAGACGCACACCACATATTAAAGAAAAAGACCAATAATATCATAGACGTTATTATTTCTATAATTATGTAACTTTACTAACAATTTATAATTAGCAGTGGTGGCAACTTAGATACAACAAGTATGAAATGCGTGGCAAGGTGCGTTGACACACAAAAATTTGTTTTCTACTCGTGTCAACGAAAAATTCTAATTCACATTGTTTGTGAAATTTTCATTTAAAATCTACGCATCAAATCAATGCAATAAATAAAATCATATTCACCTCATTACTGTTCATCACCGTCTGACGAACAGACACACACACACTCGAGCTCGAAGGCGCACTAATTAAAAGTGACACGGGTAATGCGTCAAAGATATATGTGGCAACTGTGGCACAACAACCACAAGCTACAACCGCAACCACAACCACAAGTGTGTGCGTGCAGCTGCACGCAGCCGAGAGAGAAAAACAAAATAAAGTTAGGCGAAGGGAGGCAGAACAGACGCAACAACAAACTGTTGAGTAATGAATGGCGCAGAAAAGTCAAAAAGCAGGTTCAGAGCGGGCGAACAATTGCATGTGCTCACGCAATGATGCTCGCACATTCATAAAAGTGTAGTTAAAATAAATTTGTATATACATTAGGGTGTCCCAAACGCCGCAACACACTTTTTAGGAGCGATTTTTTGAGATATACAATATAAATTTTTAAAATTTTGAGAATTAGATGTTAAAAAAAACATTCAAGTTTTAATTTTCTTAATTTATAATATTTCGAAAACTTTCGACTTGCCTTAAGCATCTCAAATGGGATACATGAGGTATATGTATGAGGAAGAAGTCAACCATATAATCGGAAATCATATTTATAGGGATTTGGGCTTTTGGCATTATTTTTAAGAAAGCTTGTCCACTTAATTTCGTTATATCACAAACACTGCGTGGAGACTAGATAAAGGTCTGGACTGATTGCATTGAATTTCGACATTAATCAGGTATACTCGAGAACATGTTTCCAATTCTATCAATATAAATAACACACTATTATAGTATTATATATAAAACTCAATCAAATCGTGGACCGATTTCATATAACTTCGGCAGTAAGCTGTAGTATTTTGTTAGCCACCGAAATACAAATAAAGCAACAAAGTTTGTAAGCAACACGCTTTTTATCGCTCCTAAACCATTTTCTTGTTCTCTACATCGGTTTTATATTCCCCCTCATCCACGTTGTTTTTTCGTTGGCAGCAGCGCGATTTATTTCTTTGTTCGCCCGTCAGTCTGGCAGTCAACACAATGCATTTTGTATGCAGCTGTCACTTTGACATCTTGTTTGTCATACACTTTCTTGGCACACTGTACGCGCGAAGATTTTCTGTTGCGTTGCTTTATTTGTTGTTTTTCTTGTAACTATTTTGATTTAGTGCGTTTTGGTTGTGTTAACATGGTCTGCTGCTCTGGTGCCTTGGCCCTAAATTAATTTAGTCCAATATATTTTGATATTTGACTCACGTTTACCAAATTCAAAGGCGAAATTTTATATTATAAAATTTATTTTAGAGTGAGTTGGAAGATACTTGTTAAAAATTGGTATAATCAAGTCGCGTAAGTTGAGTAATTCTAAACTTTTATTTATTGTTTTATATATAGTATTCCCCGTTTGATTAACCACTGATTAAACCTTTTGAACTACATAATTGTATTGTACTTTTTTAAGTCAGTGGTTACGTAGGTGTGGAAATGTTAACAGACAGAAACGGTGTACGAAAGTTCTAGAGAGATATGCTGTGACTTGCTGATAGTTTCAACAAGATAGAATATTCCTTTAAAAATGCAAAAAGAGACCTAGATACTTACGTTCATAACATTTATGAGTTTAGCTGGCAAAATTTTTCGAATCTAATAGAACTAAATTCTTTACCTGACTATCATAAAGTCCGAGTAGCAAAAGTTCTAGGGGGAGAAAAATGTGGATTCCAATGAACTGACGACTGACTAATCTTTCTAAATAAAGTACCGGCAAAATAATGAGCACATTTAATGCTACATAAAGCTTGAACAAACTTATTGAGTATTAACATTGTAGGTTTAGAAATACAAAGTTGCTACTGACCAGATTTCAATATTCAGCAGATTTTAAAATTAAATTTAGATAACTTCAGTAATATCTCTCTAATATGAAATAAAGGTTTGTACTCGTAATACCAAACAAATTTGAGAACAATATATATTAAGACTAAACAAGATTTCATGTTGGTACTCTCTATGTCTACAATAATTTTTAAGCTACAAAATACTTGGATAAATAGAAGAACTAAATAAAAGGAGTACTATAGTTGGATTGGCTTAAACCTAAAATACTTTGCCAATGATGTCATGACTTGGAAAAAATTTCCGTGCGGGAAATTCAAACAAAAATCCTTTTTGATGACCAAAAGTTCACCTCACAGACTCACATTATTTGTTTTCCAAAGAATAAAAGCCAAAGAAAAAATTATTTCCAGCTTTGCATAGCAATTGCTTGTACAAGTAGATTTTGGGGAATCGTGATCATCGAAAATTCTCGAGCTGTTGGAAAATTAGTCGAATAAGAAGTTCTCATTAAAGAAAATTCGTAATTAGAGAAATACTTGGACCCCTTTTCTAAATGAGCAAATATAACTATAAAAGAGCTATACCCAATGTGACAAGTTAAGGAAAAACCATATTGATATTTTTTTATGAAAGGCTCTTCCATTGTCCTTTTATCACACGCTTATTTTGATAAGGATTTATTTATATTTGCATCGTGTGCACTTAACCCAAATATATATCCTGCAGCATATATTGTCCACAACTCACTCGTTATCACGTACACAAAAAGGTAACCATTGAAAATCAAATAAATAAATAATTTTAGCGTCTTTCTTTTAGTCAATACAACAATGAAAGGATTTAACAGGACGCTTTTGTGTGCAATGCAAATGGAGCGTTGTATGTCCAATAATGGCTTATTATTGGTTGTGTGTATTGAAGTGGGCGGAAAAAATTTTGAAATTTACAAAAACTAAATACTTTAACAGCAAAAAAAGTATGGTAATGCAAATTGGAGAAGAGTAAGGTCGATCAATGGTGCCACTTTTGTTGAATAGTATTTTATTGCCATATATGACTTCTTCAAATACAATACATATATAGTACCTATATCGACATTTTAAACTATACCGATAATCACTTAACTATCAAATATAGTATTTAACTTAGAAAATCAATTAAATACAGTTTTCAGAATAGTTTCAAGAATCCCACTAAACAAATAAATTATAAATAACACTTTTCTGTAAGCAGTAATAGATGTGCAGGTAGCGCTTTTATTTAGATTCAATATTTTTACTTGAAAAGATATCGATACCAGACCGATAACAAAAGCAAACTATATCTAAATAATTGTAATTTATTGTTTATTTGTAATCAAAAATTAAATAATTTTATCAAATATATTTAGGTTGAGCAACACAGATGCATAAAGTATTAAAGTTTTTAAATTAATCAATTAATTTTTGTTTTACCTTTTTAAGCGCAATAGACCCGATGTTAAACATCAATATACATTTTTATATACGCTTAAATAAATGTCTGGTTTTTTTATTTTCAATGAAGTTTGCTGCTGAAAATTTCAATAATACATTTTGTTTATTTCAAAAAATTAGATACTATTTAAATAAAAAAGAATTTAAAAAAATTAAATTAATTCCACAAAAAATACATATATCTTCCTAATATTATAACTACTATATTTATATATTTTAGTAATTACTTCAAAGAAAAATTAATTCATGTTATTTTCTATTTTTTTCTTGGGATGGCAACTCTAATACTGCTAAAAACTTTTCGCAGTAGGCCGATAAATAAACACAGACAGGATATTTAAGCAAATAAGTAATAGAAAATACAAATATAGCCCGCATAAAAATACAGCTGTCTCTGATTTACTTTGTACGCACTTCATTTAATCCATTAAAGCTTAATAAAGTGCAAACACTACTAGGCGTATAAGTAACCTTTTCCGGTTTGCTTGCACATGGCAACGCCGTGTTCATGCGTACATATAGATTACCTATAGAAGGATATTACTGTGTAGCATTGTATAATTTTGATTTGTTAATAAGTGAACTGTTACAGGTACACATTTTCGGTCCGGCCTTTTAAGACCTATTTTGTTCTACATTTTCGAACTGTCAGCAACGCATACATGTCTTTTGGCCGCTGGGCTTATTCGTTGCTTAGGCGAAGAACATGTTCCAAATGTTTACACACATGAACACAAAGTTATATCAATTCATTGCTACAACTTCTTAAGCAAAAAATGGATAAACTCCTGAGAAAACACATTAAAGCGACAATAAATTTGCATGCGACATCAAAGTGATTGCGCTAAACGAAACAAAAAATTGTTTTCAAAAACAATAAAACCGAGGGACTTTGATTAATATGTAAAATAAATTGGAAAAAAGGTAACTTAATTCTCAGCCGCATTGGGAAGGCAAATATGCTTACAAGTGGCAAGGCACCTTCCGTTCCCGAATTTCAACCTTTATTATGTACTCGTATAAATTCTTGCTCTTTAACTTTTTGTCAGCCTTTTTAAACTTTCTACTTGCTATCTATCTCAAAGACCTTCATTCCACGCTTACTCACTTCAGTTCTTCACATTTTCTGCTTCACCACTTCACTTACCTCTCTAATGTCAATTTTGCCATCCTGATTATCATCGTAAGCCTCCATGAAACAAGATTTCAGCTCCTCAAGCATTGTGTCGGTGACAGCCTAAAAATGAAAAAAAGATAAAAGAAGAGAAAAGAAGTTGAAAAAGTGCACCAAATACATTAAACAGTTATAACAAAGCCGAAAGTATGTATGTTTTGAGAAAGGATACTTGAAAGTATGCGCCGCAGTGAAGCCCATAGAAATCAATGCAGGCTTAAAGTATGATAAAGTGGCAATGCTGTTAAGCAACACAGTGAAAGCGCCGGCTTCTCCGCCGCCAACATGCTTGACTGGCAAAAAATGCTGAGTGCTTGAGCATTGGTAGAGTTTCTTTTTATTTCTCGCTCTGCGATTCTAATTTTTTTGCCTCAATTTCCAAGTTGAAGCTGTATTTATGGAAATAGGCGAGATTTTTATGCGCAAAAATGTTTAAATACAAGTATGTACATATGTAGTATAAGCCTGCATTATTTTTTTAAATTATGCGAGATATATTCTAGAGCGAACTAGTGTATTGTATAAGCAACATTTTGTTGTATTATAGAAAAAATATTTTTAAGTAGAGTATGCTAAAATTTTAATTATTTCTAAATACAATATTATTATTATGAATTTCGAAGGCGAATAACAAATGTTTGAATTCTAATATGTATTATTCCACAAATTTTTCACCAAAACTTAAAATCTGCATATTTTCAAATTTGATTTTATATTAATCGGACCAACGAAACCACAATGCGCCGTACCGAACATTTTATCATATTAGACTATGTTCACAGGAGGACTTTTTTTGTCGCCCAAACCTGTTTTTTTAATGTCTGTAATCATATTTATATCCATAATAGAAATGCCTTAGAAAAGGTTAGATATGAATAAAAATTACATAATCAAAAATATTTTTGTGCACCGAGTACATGAAACGTACAAGAATTTGAGAATGTGATATGAAAGAAAGTGCAAAAAATTGTCCAATTCAAGGGTCTCATATTCCGAGTGACTGTCTGTCTGTCCGTCCGTCGGTGTAAACGATAACTTGAGTGCATTGAAATATCTTTATACTCCTTGGCTTTCAAGAGAAGTTGGTATTGCATATGATCCCACAAAATCGAAAACTTATAAAGTTTCATAACAAAACCACAATTTAGTATTTAAAACTGCAATTTCGTACAGTGGGCGTGGTTCCGCATTCTAATTGGTTTAATGACAACAATTTTTAAAAAAGGTTATGCGAAGACTGGCAACATCCGTCACTTTGCATCAAAATGTGAATTACTGTTTTATACTCTCAAATAGATTTTGAAAAAATTCAGAGAAGGAAATTCCATTCCTTTTTACTTTTGAGAGTAATGTTGCCTTCTTTGATTAATTGATCTAACCCCTCGTAATCACCGATAGAAATATATTTTTTGAGTTAAACTGCTCGCGTTCTGCATTAAATTAAAAAATATGCAATTCGAGGTCTTGTGTGAAACGTAATTATTTTCTTATATTAAAATGTAGAAACGCATTGCGGCTTCCAGTTCCAATGATTTAAAATTAAAAAATACTTAGTAAAAGATCAAATAAAAGTTTGATTGTAATGTTTTTCATAAAGAAAAATAATATGTATTGATCAAAAATAATTAATAAATATTATATTTAAACTCTCTTTTCATGTGTGAACTTACTTCTGGACTAATATCAGTGGCATTTGCACTCGATACAAATTCGCGCAGGAAGCCATCTAATTCTGTGCCTTCAATGTAACCGTTACCTGTAAGAATGACAAAACATAGAATATGAATAAAATTTTTTTTTAAATATTTATGAAATTAAATATATAAAATAATATTAGAATCAATCATTCTAATTTAGTTACACCAACCAATTGCAATATTTTTTCTATACTCACCATCTTTGTCGTAATGTGCCCACACATCCATAAATTGATTAGCCGACAATTTTTTCAATTCACGCGATTCCGGATCACGATATTGGCGCATGAAATTATGGGCCTTCTCGATTTGTACGCGCTTTGCGGCAGCTGCGGCGGCAGCAGCTGAAGCGGTAGCTGCACTGGGTGACTCCATAACTTAGAATATGCGTAATTACCTTGTTACTGTTCTAAAAATAACTATTTCTTTGATTAGGGGTGTGAGTTGCGGGTGTAACGGGGTTTTCTTTAAGCTTTTCTTAAAGTAAAGATCTGTAAATATAGAAAAACTAGTATATATAATATAATATGAGTTAAAGATTTAATTTGTTTACAAAAGAATGAACAAGCAAGGAAGGGCTAATTTCTGGTGTAACCGAACATTTTATATTCTCGCAACTTGCAACAATCACCTTCAGGTGTTGGCAAAACTCCCAACATTCATTGTTCGACGAAATCGTAAAAGAATTACAACAAAATTTGGTATCTTATTAACTTTTATGTACATTATATATTGTAGACTCACATAGTTTCTTGAGGAAAATATCCTTTGGGATAGGAAATTCCACTTTCATTCTGGACTAATAAAAATCATAGGATTTTTGGAATCCAATAGGATGCCAATAGGATGTTTGAAATCCTTATAAATCTTATCAATTTTCTGATATAAGATATAATATATGGGACGTAGGTAATATTTTGACCAGATTCTATCAAGTTTTGGTATTACGACATATAATTACCAGGTTAACCAATATATAAGGTATAAAGTCAAGCGGATATTTGTAAATCCGTATATTAGGTATATGGGGACTAGAGAATGTATAACCCTGATTTTATAGATCCAAAATTTTGACAGATCCGATTGGCGTAGCACGCAGGCGTTCGTATTGAATAAGGTGTTGACGCCACGTAGTGTATAATGGCGTGGGCGCGATGATCCAGTCCTTTTTGTTGCTTGATGGTGTGGTGGTGTCGTCGTGTGAGGTGAGATACTTTGAGTGTTCTCAAATGTGGTGGGTACTGTTAATGTGTGCCCGGTTTGAATGGTTTATATACGCGAGGAGAAGGCTTAGCTCATTTAACCAGGTATATGGTGGATAAGGATAGTATTGACCAGTTTTTACCCATTTCGGCAGAAGGGCATGATGTCACCACAAAAATATTTTCTCCGATTTTCAATACGAGAATCAACAAATGCAAAAAATACTTATTTTCTACAAGTTTGGTTGATTTAGATTCAGCGGCTTGGAAGACATGTCCTTTATATATTTATCAGGCGAGGGCACGCGCACAAAATTGTAGCCCAAAGGTGTCTCTTCCTACTGTGATCCTCTGTACCAATCTACAGTTTTGTCTCTTAGTTTAGTGCTTAGTTATGGCACTTTATATGTTTCCGATTAATGGCACTTTGTGGGCGTGACAATAGACAAATTTCACCCATCTGCAATACCAACACTACTTGGGTGCCAAGGAGCACATGTGCAAAGTTTCATTAAGATATTTTAATTTCGCCTCAAGTTATCGCTTGTACGGGCGGACGGACAGACAGACAATCACTCGGAATTCAACTTTAGTTGCCATCCTGATCATTTATATATATATATACCATATAGCTACATATCTTTATATAATACAAAAACCGTTAGGTGCACAAAACTATTATACTCTCGGTTGCAACATATTGCAAGAGTATAAAGATGGGACCTGGGACTTAAACATGGTATTTTTCCCAAATTTTATATTGAACCGCACTGTCAAAAACTCTTAATTTTATATGTCGGCTGTCAAAAAAACTCATAACCAAATTCCTGCAGCGCGCAATACAGTGCCTCTACCATTTATATGCTGTCACTTCTGTCAGTTGCAAAGATGTGCAGGTCGTAAGGTTGACAGTTAGTGTGGTGCAAAAGCAGAGTAAGTGATAAAATTCGAAAAAATCGACGTTAAGGTACAAAAATAAACAATAAAACCAAGCAATTGAAAAAAAGTAGAAGCGTCGGATTGGCGCCACCGACTGAGTGTAACGCATACAATCGAAACAGCAGAAATGCAAAATACAAAAAGTGCTCTGTATCATCACTTTCGCAATCTCACTGCAACGTCACGCTTAAAGTATACTTGCAATTGCGTAAATAGGATTAGAGAGCATGCACTTTCGGAATCCCAGCTGATTCAAGCGTTTTTACTGGTGGAAGTAGCCCTGATTCGTTTTTTCAGTTTTCGTTTAAATTTCAGGCAACTTGATCAACGCGCCCAACTCTCAGGGCAGCTCTGGTGTTCACGCAACTACTCACTGTCATAATATGACACCTGAGTCGTTGAAAAAACTGAAGCCACAATAAAGCATTGGCATTGATAGAGTCTCGTGTATTGCGGTTAACTTTGAAATCGCAAGCAGTAGGAAGAAAAACGTTGGAATACATCGTGTGAAATTAATCCGAGCAATTGTTGGCCTTATTTGGGAAATTTAATGCGATAACGCTTACAAATGGTATTAAGAGAAAAAGTAAACAAGAAATTCTATTAAATAAAAATTGAGAACACTTTTTTACTAATCGGATTTATATGGCAGTGTAGGAAAGTCGAAGAATATACAATATTTAATCGGAATAACGAAGGAACATTGAATGTGTAATAATAACTTTCTGTCCCAAAAACAGCGTGTATAAGTTAATTTTCTTATTTCTTCTCTTTTTTTTGAAATATGGCCCTCCCAATTTAACGGACTATATATTTAAGATTTTCGATTATTATTTAGTCTGCTGGCATATATACCTTGTTTTCCCTTCTAAAAATATTTATATTGCATCAAGACCAGTTTGAAAACCTGCACCAGGATTAAGATTTTTTCAAATTACTAACCAAGAACCAACAATGAAAACCGTCGTTGACACAGACCCAGACTTCATTAAATAGAAAGTCGGAATGAACCGACGAACGTGTTTTTAAAAACCGGAAGCAATTTTATAAAGCACTAACAAAAAGAAAGAAATAATATCCGGTATAAACTCCTAACCCACTGAACCTATTTAAGTAAAATTTAACTCACTGTATCTAGTTTTATCCAATTCTTTTTTATTCAACTATGAACTCAATTATGTTAAAAGTCAAAACAAATTATAAACAAGTAAGGAAGGGCCAAGTTCGGATGTAACCGAACATTTTATACTCTCGCAAAGTCAAATGGTATACTCGTTTGAGATTTCTTTGTGGATTGACTGATATTTTCGGTAGAAGGTCAACTATAGGCACTGGGGTCCACATATTTAGTACTTAGGGGTTTAAACAGTTTTGGTTCGATTTAGACAATTTTTGGCCGCAAGGTGGCATGCTTTAATTTCATTATTCACGCAAAGTTTTACACCGATATAATCATTGTTACCTGATTTGCATAGTGGAAAGTGAAAGAATCAGATGGAATTGAAAATGGTGTTACATGAGAAGTAAGCGTGGTTGTAGTCCGATTTCGCCCATTTTCGCACTATGACATAGAAACATGAAAAGAACGTTATGCACCGAATTTGGTTGAAATCGGTTGAGCAGATCTCAAGATATGGGTTTTCACCTAAAAGTGGGCTGTGCCACGCCCACTGTCTAATTTTGAACGCGGTTCCAATAAAGTCATCTTATACCATCTCAGATATAAAATTTAGTGTCTCTGGCGTGTTTAGTGCTTGATTTATCGCGCTTTTAGTAGTTTTTAACAGTACCGTTATATGGGGAGTGGGCGGAGTTGCCACCCGATTTCAACTATTTTCACACCGTCAATAGAAGTGCTAAAAACATTTGCTTCTAGTGAATTTTGTTATTATAGCATTAGCGGTTTAGGAGATATGCACATTAAACCTATTAGAGGCGGGACCACGCCTACTTTTTAAAAAAAATTTTAACAGCAGATGCCCCTCCCTAATGTGATCCTGTATACCAAATAACAGTCTTGTATCTTATTGCGGAGCTTAGTTATGGCAAGTTATTTGTTTTTGATTAATGGCGTTTTGTGGGCGTGGCAGTGGTCCGATTACGCCCATCTGCAATACCAACCGTCTCACGGTATCAAGAAACATGTCTACCAAGTTTCATAAAGATATCTCAATTTTTACTCAAGTTAGAGCTTGCACGGACGGACGGACGGACAGACAGTCACCCGGATTTCAACTCGTCTCTTCATCCTGATCATTTATATATATATAACCCTATATCTAACTCGATTAGTTTTAGGTGATACAAACAACCGTTAGGTGAACAAAACTATTATACTCTGTAGCAACAGGTATAAAAATAATAAAAAAACGTTAATTTCGGTGGCACCGAAGCTATAATACCCTTCACAGATACAAAGGTTCCTTACAATAACTTGATTCCGATCTAATTTCGTGAAGATACCTCGTCGAATAAAAAAGTTTTCGATGCCAGAAATCCGATCGTTCAGTTAATATGGCAGCTATATGCTGTAGTGATCCGATCTAAACAATTTCTTCGGAAATAGCATTGTTGCCTTAGGAAATGCCAACTTTCGTGAAGATATTACTTTAATTAATAAAGGTTTCCATACAAGCACTTGATTCCGATTGTTCAGTTTGTATGGCAGCTATATTGTATAGTGGGCCGATATCGGTCGTTCCGATAAATAAGCAGCTTCTTAGTGAGGAACGGACAGGTGCAAAATTTCAGATCGATAGCTTAAAAACTGAGGCACTAGCTCGCGTATATACAGACGGATGGACAGGGCTAAATCAACTCAGCTCATCATGCTGATCATTTACATGTATGTAGGTATGTGTACATTTTATAGGGTCTCCGACATTTCCTTCTGGATGCAACAAACTTAAAAAACCCTGTTCAGAGTATAAATATATACACATACAAATATATCTGACCGAAAGCATGAGTTCAAAATTTATAATAAAAAAAATATAGGTATTTCTGAGCAAAAGCATATGTATGTATAAAATTCAAAAACAGAAAAATTTTTATTATAATTTTCCGTAAAATGTCAAAGGCCGAGAAAGAAATAAAACCTCAACAATCCCTCAAAACATTGTATAAAACAATGCAAGATTTAAATGGCAACGATAAACTTTTCGGCGATACTGGTGGATCACCGCAAATATTCTTGAAGCACCCATTTTGACTGGAAAATTTATTGGAGAAATGGTACTGTTCCAACAAACTAGTCTTCAAAAGGCTACAGTTTACTTTAAAAAAGTCTCAAAGCCAAAAAGATTAATTTTGGATTTTAATCTTGAAAATTCATTCCTTTTTTACATCGA